CCTGCATCTGCAGATGTAGTTTATAGGTAGTGCCATGTCTAACTTAATTCTGAATATGTCTAATACATCATGTATCATGACGCAAATTAAACAAATCCCTTGTTTTCATATAAGCAAAAGTAATTTGAATCTCGTTCTCTCTTTCCTGCATTGCCTTAGTGAGGTGGAGGAGGGCGAGCTAGCTGATTTGATTTCACGTAACTTGAAGGGAGATAGTCCATCATCTATTACTTTGGTCAGAAAACAGTTTGGTGGTAAATACGCCATATCTGCAGAGGAGTTTACACCTGAAATGGTTAGGCTTGCGAAATCAGATTCACTTTATCTCCACAACTTTATTTTTTTCTTCTTTCTCTTAACTTGCAGAGTTACAATTCGCTCGAATATTGAACTTTTTAGAACTCTTTGGCATGCTGTAGCTCTGAACTATATTTATGAACGGTGTATGTCTAATTTACGCATAGGGACATTTTTTTTACTAGGTTGGTGCTAAATCACGCAATATCTCATATCTAAAAGGAAAAGTACCGTCTTGGGTTGGGATTCCGACATCAGTTGCCCTACCGTTTGGAGTATTTGAGAAGGTTCTTGCAGATAAAATAAACAAGGTTATTCTTATCTCTAAGCTTCAATCATGCCTCCCTGTTTTCTTAATGCATGCACAGCTGCAATTCGTTTACAATAACCTCCTTCAGTGGTCAAACTTTTCCATTTTGTTAAGTAGCTTTTGAAACTTACATTGGTATCGAAATCAAGCTCCTGGATTTTTATTGTTGTGTGACCAAATGAGATTTCTTAAGCAGATTTCGCAAGTGAATTGGTGATATCTAAGGTTCTGATTCAGTATATGGCAACTTCTAAATCCTAATTCCTTTACTGCCTAAATTTATAAGAACAAAAACTCAATTAAGGCACATATTTTGCTGTTATTTACCTACTTTGGCTTCAGATTGGAGTGTGAAATTTCTTAGAGCACCGGTGCCTCTAGGTCCACTATGTCTGTAACTGAAAAAGGATTGTAAAAAGGATTATTCCAATAATAATCAATTTGCTGCTGCAAAATATCTTCACTGGTGTTGTTGGCATTTAGGATCTCTGCTTTACCTGTCATGGTAGTCTTCTTGTCTGACAGGTTCTCTCTCATTATCTCCTCTTTAATTCAGGAAGTGGATAAGAAGTTGCAAATATTGAAGAAAAAGTTAGGAGGAGACTCAGTTACACTTGGGGAGATTCGTCAGACAGTTCTACAGCTTGCAGCACCACCCCAATTGGTATGTATTTTACCGGTTGAGCCTAAGATGTTTCTTCTCTTAAGCCTTCATTGCCTACCTGATAGCATCTTTAGAAGCAGTGATGATAGCTAGAAACGTGCTTTTGTGGAATTATTCTTTGGATGGAAAATTTTAATTTGTCTAAATCCTCTGCTTGACCAATAAACCTCCCTTCTCCCTCTCTATTACCAATATCTCCCATGTGAATCAGAATTTTTACAAGAATTTCGTGCCATTCCTTTCTTGATAATCTGTAAAATATTGATTGCACTTGAATCAGATTTTTCTTGAGTGGCCATTAGTTAGATTTATTTCAATTTCTTATTACCTTTAGGTGCAAGAGCTGAAGACCAAGATGGAGAGTTCTGGAATGCCTTGGCCTGGAGATGAAGGTGACATTAGGTGGGAGCAAGCATGGACTGCTATAAAGAGGGTACGCTGTTTTTCCTGCATTGGAAAAGAGCATATCCTTAAAATTTTGATTTCTACAAGATGTCATTTTATTTGAAAAGTGTCTAATCAATAATTGTACTCCACTAACTGCAATCATAGGATTAGGACTAGCAATATCATTACATTACCTTTAATGTCCTGTTGGGTCACCTAGGCTAGCATGGCGTGTGCTAGGCAGGCACCACCTTCCTTAATTTTTGCCAACTGCTATATTCTGTGATTCAATTTCACTTTCTCTACACTGCAAATGAATTAATTTTTAGTTTATTTTCTTTCATTAAAAAATGACTACCTTGATTTCCTAAATTATTCTTGTTTTCACATCCAATCCAAAGAGCTGATAACTAGCACAACTTTTACTTGTAACTGGACCTTAATTGCTTTGCATTAGTCTTTTTGATTTCTAATTTGATGTCTAGCATTGATCTATTTACATGCATTCTGTTTAGGTGTGGGCTTCAAAATGGAATGAGAGAGCATATTCCAGCACCAGGAAAATCAAAATAGACCATGACTATCTCTGTATGGCTGTACTGGTTCAGGAAGTAATCAATGCTGATTATGCATTTGTTATACATACTACTAATCCATCTTCAGGGGACTCATCAGAGATCTATGCTGAGGTATGTATCTCCATTTATCATTTTTAGTCCTTCTCTCATGTTTTTTCACCTTGAGGAAGAAAAAGTTATTACTGGCACTTCATTTGACATAGGTCGTGAAGGGACTTGGAGAAACTCTCGTTGGAGCTTATCCAGGTCGAGCTTTGAGTTTTGTTTGCAAGAAAAACGATCTCAACTCTCCTCAGGTAAAACATGCCTGCTGATTTAATATGAGAGTTTACTTAATTTGGATACTGAAGCATGATATATATGAAGTTGCTATTGTTTATGCTATTAGTAAAGTAATGCAGAATAAGAGAATCATCAGTAATGCCTTTTATCGTATTATTGACTAAATTAGATTAGATCACAAAGCTACTAAAATCTTCACTAATGATTTCCAAGATATTTCAGGTATTGGGATATCCTAGCAAACCGATTGGTCTCTTCATAAGGCCTTCCATTATCTTCCGATCTGATTCAAATGGTGAAGATCTAGAAGGTTATGCAGGTGCTGGCCTTTATGATAGGTAATCTCCATTCAAACTATCATGCACAAAGAGGGAGATGTAGATACTATTTGATATGTTTAGTTTTGTTTTTCCATTCCTCTGCTGGGGCCCAAAAGAAAAATTGTGGTTGTGCCATCCTTAATGGATTACTGGTGATCGATGTCTGACATTCATTTTACCAGAGGTACATTAGAAGCTGTGAACATTTATGGCTGGAGCAACCTCCATCCTTCCCTTTCTTTCAATTCCTAATCTATAATTGTAACTGGTCACCAGCCTTTCATGGATGCATAAAAACTTTTCAAAAGGCTGTGTTCATGCATGGGGCTTTGGTTATAGATTGTTTGCTAGTAACTGCTTTGCTAGTGCCTAGAGGTAGCTATATAGGGCCATTTATTAATTCTTTGAAGACACGTCAGAATCTTTGAACATTTAGTGCAGGAGCAACCACCGCCCTTCCTTCTTCAACTCCTTAGCTATGCCTGAACACTAATCACCAGCCACTTTATCAACAAATAACGACTTTCCAAAAGGTTGATCTTCATGTATAGATCCTTGATTAGATTGTTTGCTAGTAGCAAACGTTTATTACACTGAAAATGCCACTCTTGCCTAGTCAAGTACTTTGGTTCTTGGCCCCCAATTTGGATCTTAAATAGGTTTATTCTTTTCACTATTATAATCAGTGTATATAACTTCCCCTGTCAAAGGAAATTCTCAAGTACTTTCATATGATTTTGTGCTTCGTTTTTTGTTTTGTCAATTACTATGCTAAGTAATATATTTGTTTTTGTGCAGCGTGCCCATGGATGAAGCAGAAAAAGTTGTGCTTGATTATTTATCTGACCCATTGATAAATGATGGCAACTTTCAACAATCAATCCTTTCTAGCATTGCTCGTGCAGGAAATGCCATCGAGGAATTGTATGGTTCTCCACAAGACATTGAAGGTGTCATCAGGGATGGGAAAGTCTATGTTGTCCAGACAAGACCCCAGATGTGATCCCCCTTGTTTCGTTACAATATTTATTCTTTTGGCAGTGTTTTTGCTCATGCCAAGGTTGTTAAAATGAGAAAAAAATAACAGAGAGCAGCTGAAAATAAAGAGTAAAAGAAAATGGGAGGAAAAGAATAAAGACTATTAAACCACAGAACTAAAAGTTCGTACGTAATATTTACCCAGGGTGTGGCCTGCTCGGTGCTTACTGGCGCCCTGTTTCAACGCTTGTAGCAGTAAATTTATAGTGGTAGGGAATGGGAATTGCTTATTTGTTTGGTACCTTTTTCGCCAGGACGTTGTAATATGAAGATGCCCTCTTATATACGTTTTCAATAGCATGTTGTTGCTAGGTGAGATGATGTTCCGAGGTGAATGGTTCAAAACGAAAATGCCTTCAGGTCAAATCTAAGTAACAAGTCATAATATGCATTAGCCTGCTTTAAATGTATAAGATGCTCCGTTGAGAATGATTGGAAAGTCGGAACGTTGGAATATTTTAATTTGTAAAAAGAAAGAGTGTGCATGCAATTTTCAACATTTATCAATAAACTCCTCTAAAATGACTCTTTGAACTTCTTTCATCCTCTCGAATATTAACCTGATAACTGCCAAAATATTAACCTGACAGGGAAGAGGAATAAGTATATATTATTTCTGTTTAAATCTTTTGTTTACCGTTTGACATTTGTTCAATAAACAAAAAATTCAAATCGGTGCATTGTTTTCTACATGCAAGCTTATAAAACAATACCGAGGGGTACAGAAAGCGATAATGTTTTTTGATTTGTAGTAAAATGGCAAGTTCTGTTCCTCCAGAAAATACATCAATTTCCTAGTAAGAAATGATTTTCTTTGTCTAACTTGTTTCAACAAGTTCTCTTTCTTATTTATTTAATTTTTTAATTAAAAAAAAAAGAAACTCCTTTATGATGATGAAGTTGTAAAAAGTGAGCCCCCAAGGTGATCCGCTTTTAATGCTGATGGTATACTGTTTCTTTATTATGTATTTGTACCAATGGCAAAGTATCAGAATTTGAGAACAGTGTTGCTGTTAAAAGAGCACAATGACCACTCCTCGCTTCAGAGTTGAGAAAATCGGATCATCTCGGCTCCGCAGCAGCATGCAAGTCGTAACTCAAAAGACATCTTGGTTGGAAGCAAACCTTACTGAACATTTCATTCATTAAAATCCTTTTAGACAGCGTGGTATTTAAAACATGCTTGAATTTTCTCACACAAATGCTCTGAGATCCCAACGTCAACAAATTTACATTCAAACACAATTATTCATCCCTCCCACAAGCAAATTTCTTGATAATTGTTGCTACTAGATGTTATAGCTAGACTGGACAGCCCTCTGCGGTGAAACCTGATACATCAATCCACACCTCATTTATGCGCCCCGTGGGATGTTTTGAAGCATTGTACTGCGCAATGCTGTAGTTATACTTGTTTTCCGCTGCTTGCTTTAACCCTGGCAAATGTTTACCAAGGCTAGAAAGCAGAGCATCTTTTTCTTTGTCCACGTTATCGTCCCTGGCATATCCAGGAAACTTTCTGACTGCAATACAGTGACTCTCCCACTTGTCCAACTGCAAATTCAATTCAGCGGCGGGCTGTGGAGGGGACGTTTTGTCAAATGTTGAAGGCAGATAATACCTTACAATATATGCAGACCCGTGGGCTGATGGAGTGACGCTTGTTAAAACAGGAGCAGTCATGAAAAATTGGGTAGAGTTAAGGTTATCCCCATGAATATACTGATACAACCTGAAACAAGCAATACAACGATAAACAAAGAACAAGGTGAGAATTTAATAGTTTCCACATTTAGTAGGGAAAAGTTTGTAGGAGGTGAATCTACGAGTAGGAAACCTGTGAAAGCCATCTCTGGTGGAATTCTGAAAGGAAGTCCCATAGACAAGAGCAGACATCCAGGACATTTCTTTGTACAATCTTATTTCAAAATCAGATTCCAAGTGCACCACTCTGAATTGTGGAGATTCAATCGTGTAGGCTGAAATTAGCACTAAATACTTAGCACTTAGATAACTTACTGCTGCTGTCATTGTCACTATCAAGAGAAACAGCTTTTCCATTCTTTGATTGTTTTTCCTTGCTGTGTAACGATGAGTGCCTTAGCTCTGGCTTATATAACCAACAGAAAGCCACTTGGGCTACCAGTTTTGTCCTTCTTTATGCTGTTATTTCACAATAAACATAACTGCAGTGTCATTAGTTAAGGCCCCATTGTTTGATTGGCTTTTCTGATTTGCGCTTCCACCTTTTAGTTAATGTTCATATATTCACGTTTTTAAATAGAAAAGGATAGCGATATAGCAGCTATAGCACATTGCCTAGTGAAACTGAAGGAATGATGAACTGAGAAAATTTTGATTTGACCAGCAAGTGCTACCACCTTCAGTAAACCCTAGGCATGAGCAAAATCTCAAACAGAAATCTTTCTACTACTAAGAGTAAATAGCATTAGTATTGATTTAAATTTCATGTTACAGCAGGGAATAGCTGTTATAATTGACTAACAACGGATACCGGCCATGCCACCCCGTTTCCCCTGCCACAAAAGAACGGAAGAAAACGTGATGGATTATCTTATTCTTATAATAATCATACTATCGTTCAGTACCTTTTTTTTTTCTGGTAGGTGTGAGTGATTCATCAGTACAGCGAATATAAATGCAACAATGATAAGGTGACATCTGAGCAGGAATATTTGTCACAGCAGAAGAAGATCTCCCCGTTGGTTTTTTCTTTAGACTGGGAGCATAAAGCAAATGGAAATGGTGCGCATAAAAGAGAGAACAAACTATATACGTTGTTCTCGACATGTAAGAGGAAAAACTCTGTAATTGACACTTGGTCATCCAAGCATCATCCTCCTGATCATGTGACCAAATCACACAAAAAAAATCTGGCAAAGATTACTCTTCAAATTAAGGCAAGTGAAAGAAGGCAGACAAGGAAAATCAAGATCTGATTTATGGCCAATAATCAAAGCATTAGTGGCCTTTGAGGCTCATGGACTTGACTTTGTCAATTTCTGCTCCCACTTTGCAAAATATTAAGCAACTGAGCAAATTGCACTCCATCCCTAATCATTGAGGGTACTAATTCATTTAATTGGTCCCTAACAACCTCAAGTTCAGCTACTAAGCAAGTTGATAAGCCATTCTTAGTACGATACTAGGAAGCAAAAACACAAGGGAAACCAAAAATTGGTTAATGATCCACTTAAATATTTATATATATTGCAAATTTCTACGTGGATGGACCAAAGGGTTCTTAAGTCTACAGGGTAAAGATGCAGTCAACCAAACAAACATGATGGTATCCATAGAAAACTAGCGGCGAAAAAGTGCCCTCAAAATCTGCTGATTAATATAAGTTATCTTGGATTAGTGGATGATTTAATAAATGGCGGAAAATAATTAGAGGAGGAAAAAAGAGGCTATATGTGTAGCACCAAAGGAGTGACGTCTGTCTATTGGTGAAGTCCTAGCTGAAAAGTGAGCCTTCATTCCAGGGTTGGATTAGCAACTTGCCATTTGTCATCAGGATAGCAATATTATTATTTATTACTCCAGCTTTTTTATATATATACACACACATATGGGATGGTGAAAAAAAGACTTGAAAAATGCAGTTTTATGGTGAAAAAATGGTATATTTTTCTTATTTATCTCCTGCTAAATGAAGGAAAAGAAAAGAAATACTAAAGTTTTTTTCACTCTCTTCACTTCTTACCAAACATATGGTAAATCCAAAGAAGGAACTATTAACTTATTTAAGCTAGTACGTTGTTGAACTTCTCGGAGAACATAATAAATTAGATGGAGCAGTCAGCTTTGCTGGTTAAAATTTTATGGGTGTATGTGCTGTACGCATACATGATTTAATTCGGGCCTCTTTTTTGAAAGTAGTGAATATGAATGGCAACATAATAATGGGTTTGATCTGGCTTTTGTTGTTGGACTAGGTCCCCTGGCTCAACCCTGCTTGCTTAGTCCAAAAAAAATGAGCGTCCGAATTCCCAGTCAGTTCGACGCAAAATGATTAATTGGGACGCGGTGGACTTCTTCCAGGAAGCCTTCGCTTATCCCATCTGGGCCCAACTGATAGACCCATTTGGAGACAAATGAGGATCCTAGCCGGTTACCCATCAGGTCTTGAATGACAAGAAGGAATGAACTAAGCAAGAGTTTTATACCACGCCACCAATTGGAGGATTGATATGATCAATCTGCATGTGCAAGTAACATTAGATGAAGCTGATGAGCATGATTAAATATCATAATGTGTCGTCCCCATAACAAAGCAACGTGAAGAGACTGGCAGATGATGTACTTGTTTATACCCAACATCATGATGATGCATTAGCAAATATGGTCCATGAGATGATGCCTTAAGCATGCCTCACCCCCAAAGAAAACAAGAAAATAAAAAGATCAGATTGGGTGTAAAATCCTCCTTTTTCCCAACAATTTCCACCCTCCCAAATCATGGGTTTTATCTCCTTTTAGGCAAATAAGCATTTTGGGCTAGAGGGGATGTGGTCAGCGACATCTTTCAAGGGGAATGTCTGCTTGTAAGCCCTTTTGAGGTTATATTTCTACCTTGATTAAGCTGGGAAAGCTGACCATGCTCCCTTGGACGAAATCATTGCTCAACATCCATGTCCCCATGCTTAAAAGCCTTTTGCGACCCCTCCTTTTCTACCCTTTCAAAGAGCCTTTTGTATTTTAAAAAAACAAAAAATAATAGATATTGCTACAAACAAGTAGAGGATGAGAGAATCAAACGGTGCGCGTATCATATGGTAGTATGCAGATACAGTGTTTGTGAATTGATGAGTTACAAGCTTTAAACCACTGCCACTCTTCCTCATGATTCTATTCTCTTCTTTTCATGCGGGTCTTAAGTGGAATTCGCTTTACTGTTATTCCACTTTTTAACTATTATTCTCAAGCTCGGTTCTTTGATGCTCTTCTTCTTACAAAAATTGCCAATTTATCTTGGATTTCTTGTTTCTTCATCTTTATCTTTTGCTTTATGCTTTGGTTTCTTCTGCGAAGATTGAGGAAAAGAGTTTTACAACCACAAAAACCATTTAAATTCTAGTTAAACTTGAGAAAGATTCTAAATTTGTTTTGTTCCCTCTTAGGGTAAAAGTAGTGTCCATAGAGTAAAGGGTTCCTTGTTGAATCCCTTATCTTATAGTCTCAGTTATCCTGTTTAAGTGGGATGGAATAATTATGTCAAAGCTTGGGAAGGTTCCTTTAGGACTTAATTTGAAATGAAAGATGAGGCTGACCAAGACTTTGTCATCCCATCTTATAAGTCAAGAAATTACAACAATGTCATCATTACAAAGCTCCCTTATTATCCTTTGGAGAGTCAGCCAACAGCCCACTACATTTGTGGAGTTAAACCTTACATTCTCTTTCACATTCTATGGTGATGAATCCTTTTTCGAGGCTTCCAGGGTTGGAATTCTGTCCCAAAAAGCTCGCCTTTGGTTCGTTGTGGGGTTCTTAAAGAATCCAGTCCTAGTCCTGTTGTCTGTAAATCTAAGCCATCGTTGAAAGGTCTTGGTCAACTAGCTTGTAAAAACCATAACAAAAAAGAAAATGGGTCTTTGGTCAATTGGATCTCTCAGCTTTTAGACAGGACCCATGTTGCTACATGGACATATGATAAAAATGGGTTTTCACTGGGCCGGGGCTGCCGACAAGGAACCTGTAGCACCAGCTTAAAGGGTTATTTGCCAGGTCAATATGAAATGTTGTGTGTACTGATTTTACATTATTGTTGAATATCTTTAATGAAACATGAACAAAGGAAAAATATTATGTACATTATATATATATATATTATATCTTTTTCTTTTGAAGTGACCTTACATGTCATTCACTCATCATCTAGAGTCAATGCAAACCCAATACATAGGCACTTGAAATGTCAAAAAAGGGGACCTTTGGCTTCCACTCTCAAGTGTCTATTTAATTGTGGAATGTGGACCTTGTTTGAATACTTAAACATCCTTCTTTCCTTTTCATATATACGCCTTGCACCCCCATTTCATTCTCCACATGGCGACACCATCATTATATCTTGGTATATTTTTCATATAAAAATAATGAACAGTAGAGAGATAAGTATTCAGGGACAAAAATCAATGCTGCTGCTACTCAGGTCTTCCAAGTTACTACGTTGGGAAATTTCTACATCTTTCAATGCTTCCTTTCTTTAAAATATTTTTTTGATCATCCATTAAATCTAAATATTGTAACATGATCACTACAAACGTAGCCGATCAAATTATATAATTGGCAATCTAAACCCTTTCAGCTCAAACACCACTAAACATTTCTAAATCTTGGACCATTTCTTATGGACAGTAAGAACTAGGAAAGCTAGCCTAAGTCTACAACCATAACAATGATGACCATATGTGCTTTATTTGTTTTAACAGTATTTAAAGAATAATAATCCGAGTACCCAAATCAAGGCAATCTCTTAATTTGACAAATTGGGCTTGTTTATACCATCTTTTGGGGTGTTTCTAACAATTTCAGGTTCAGCCTTTTTCTTCTCTGAAGATGATGAAAAGGGCAACACTGAATTTTAGTGTAAAGATGACATCACATGGTTCTTCGGAACACAATCACCATCAGCCCTCTTCTCCCCTCGAAAGAGGCAATTATATATTCCATATGCACTTGTCTAACTTCAATGGTACAATTTCCTCTGCCTCAGAATTAATTAAATTACATAAAAGGAGGGGAAAAGAAGATATTTGCTTCAGTTTATCTAGATTCCTGTCGTGAGGCCCTTTATATAAATATACTAAAGAATTAATTACTGTTTAAGAGTTTGTATTGATTTCTTTTTATTTTTTTTCTTTGGGGAAGGAATTGAATCATAGTTTAAGAAAGAGGTTTGCGATGCAGGAGAAGGCAAATCTAAAAATAATAAGGCCACCTTTGGCATAAGCTAATTAATCAAAACTGAGAGAGTCCCAGTTGCATAATGATAAAGCATTAGGGACGCAGCGTGCTAATTAAGGTTTTGTTTCGCTAATAATTGTATGCCAAAAGAATATTGTATATACAAAATGTTGAACCTAATAATTGTATTCATCTAATAATTACAATAAGTTAAACTTTTTCTTTATAAAGAAATTTTCATGTGCAGGATGTGCCCCCGTCAAAAAAGCAGCTGCATGTTTGCTTTAGCAGCCTTTTAGTGTCAACTTTCAAAGGATTTTGACATGCTTAGTTTCTTGTGTTTTGATCCCACATTACAGCTTTAAAAAGCATGTTTTCGAATTATGCTATTGGGGTAGATGACATTTTTCTTAAGCTGAGTTCGTTACATTAAATTTTAAATTTCTTTGGTTCATATAAAATTTTAGAGAAATATATATATATATTAAAATCCTGTTTGGTTCAAGGAAAATTTGAAAGGAAAAAAATATATATTTTTCTTAGATTTTTTACTTTCTCTTGTTTGGTGACCAGGAAAATATGAAAGGGAAAAATCTGCAATACCTTTTCCTCCAACTTTCATTCAAAAAACATGACAAAATTGGGGGAAACATTTTCCAGCTCATCCAGCCTGAATTTTCTATTCAATACCCCGTTTCTATTAACGACCAGGTAGTCTTGCCACATGTCCATATTTTATTGGTTTGACCTTTTTTTTTTCGAGATCTCAATGCGGTTAAACCCACCCACAAAATGCATTTATGCTTGTTCATTAGCAGTTAATTGTAATTTATTTTGAACATTATGTTTTTATTTTATTTTTAGTAAAGTAAATTTATTCATAATTCAGATTTTTTAAGGTAAAAATGTACTAACTAATTCACGTAAAATTTTCCTAACTAAATGAGCATGATGTATCTTAACATATACCTGAACTCTCTCTTTTTAACTCGCTATAAATTAACTCAGCTTTGCTATATATTCGTGAGTTTAATTAAATCTATACAAAAAAAGAAAAAGAGAAAAAAAAACACTTGACAAATATAGCAAAACCTCAGTCCGCCAAAATACTGCAAAACGCCATGCTTATGGAATCGGGAATCGGTTAAAAACGAAAATTATTGAAACCAAAAACAAACACACGCTAAAATTAGCCATTTTCAAAACCAGACCACTCAAACTTACATCAATAGGTGACTCGTCTCATTCCACTCAAATTTGCCACCGAAGAAAGCAAAGACAGAGTAGAGTTCTCAAGACTGGGAGACCGCAAAGGAATTGGAAGCAACAACGAGTGAAGAAGCCGAGCTGAGTGGCGTGTTGGGAGTAAAGACACAGACCAGGCGTTGATGGAGAGGAAAGGGATCTTGTTGCCGGAAGTCAGCGAGCTCATTTTCCTCGCTTTTTTTCCGGTGAAAGTGAGAGGAAATAGTTAACTACTTTAAATTTTACTCCAAATAATTTTCACTAAGAAAATTACCTATCAATTTTTCGGTTTCGCAATTTTAAATTTATAATATAAAATTTTAAGCTTTAATTGTTGAAACACAAAAAAGTTTGAATTTAACTTTTTAAAATAAAAATATATGTAATTATTATAAAGTTAAAAGTATTTTAATTTGTATAAGTCTTTTAAGTGTGAACATAATGGTGGTTTCAAACTTTTGAGTTGTAGTGCCTACAACTTTGGTCGATGAATTTAATTGCCGCAGCTGGAAAACGAAGGCATAGTCGATAGCTGTACTGAGATATCTTCATTATTTAGCCAATTGAGACAATGTGGGCCAAATTTTCCATTTAATTTGTTTGCAATGGTGGGTGAGTCTAAGAAAGGATTTATTACAACAAAATGTAGAGAAAACTTAAAATAAGAAACTAATTGACTGCTAAGGATGTGGCAGGCATCATTGCCAGAGCCCCTATAAAGGGAATAGATACATAGGGGAACGCTGGGAAAGGCAAGCGCTGCCTTTGTGCCCTTACCACTTGCCATCCGTCTAAGTATTTATATTCATGTACAGCTAATCAACAGACTAGAACTTTATTATTTTGTTTTTTTGAAAGTTAATCTAGCACTTTATTTATCCAACAATATATATATATATATATATATATTGAATTACTATTTGAAAGAATTAAATAATAAAATAGTAAATAACTTTGGAATTGTACCCCTCCTCCACTTTTGGCATTACCTCTGAATCTGATTTATGCTTTTCAAAAGGAAGAAAAAAAAATTGAAAATCGATTTTATGATGGGCTAATGACTTTGACCATGACATCATTGTTTTAATCTAACAGCCTCGATCGGTTTACCTTTGCAAATGTTCTTTTCATCTTAGAGGTAGCATAGCTCGATGTCTTGTCTCTTATTCAAATTATTGGGATGATTGTTTTCCTTGTAATGCTTTTGACATTTCTGTATCTTTAGGGAGGAGCAAAATGCAGCATTAGCAAACAAATCAAAGTCGAGCCCCTAAATACAAACACAAACGAGACATGGGTGGAACCGTAATCAAAATGAGCATGCAATGCATTTGCATGGGTGTCTGCACAGGCATGCAGTGGCAATGCACATAACCGAGTGCGCGTGCCAACACAGCAGCCCCCAACACATTAACAAATGGGCTCTATCTCTCTCTCTCTCTCAGAAAACGACACTTTTAAAAGTTGTTCCGAAGAGAAAGAAAACTCCATCGGTTTTAAGATGACACTAAAACCACGGATAGTGATGATTTATCTGATTTATGTTTGACTGTCTATGAGTTGACCCACCAAATCTGCAATCCTCCATCTCAGGCACATGTTGATTACTGTAGTTTGGCAACAGCTGATCGCTTTTTTTTTTTATTGTTGAGGGAGTTCTAATTATCCAAATCCTACTAAATTAATGTTAATCTAAATTAAACAATTTTAGGAAATTAAAGTGGGTAAGCTTTAGCTTGTTAAATCTTTATGATGGTTTATTTGGGAGATAATAAAAACAGAGTAGCTGACACAAGGAACATCTAGGGAAGTGAGAAAGAGAACACCCTAAAGCAAAGAACTTTGGAAACCCAGAATCTAGTGTAATTCCTATCTGTCCTCAGAAGCCGAAGTAAAGAATAACAGAAATCAGTACCATTTTTCCCTATAAAATTAACACAAAAGCTAAAGTTTCGGTCCTTGTATTGGAGATTGGAAACACAACCCTTCACCCCTCTATCTCTCCCTCTCTCTCTCTCTCTCTCTCTCTCCAAAGTTCTTTTTTAAAATATTTAAATCCTAAGCATGATTTCATCACTCCTTAGTATTTATATCGCCACACCCACATGGGCAAACTTTAAGAAAACTCAACCCCATTTGTGTGTTTTTCTAATCAGGCAAATGCTTAGAAGTTCAAGCCAAGGTGTCAGAACATAAAACCCGAGACATTAGAAGCTGTGAGAGAAGAAAGAAGAAGAAGAAGAAGAAAGAGAGATTTTTTTTTTCAATTCCTGGGTGTTTTCAAGAGCTTTGGAAATGGTGAGAGAGTGAAGTGCTCGACAAAGTTTTCTCACAACGGTGATCTTGTGTTGGATGGATTTGGAGGGAGCTTCATTTCTAAAGGAAAAAACTAGGGATAGATGGTGCTGTTTCGGTCACAGAAGAAGACAACACCAATGTACACAAACGGAAACCGATATAGCGCAAGAAACAACACGAGGAAATTTCTCAAAAATGGCTTCTTGCTGTTGTAAGATCTCACCAATCATTCCCATTTTTGTATTCTTTCTTCTTGTTTCTTCTTCAATTTGTCCTGTCTATGCGTCGGAAACCGGCAATCTCCATGCAAGCAATCAAACTTTCCGGCCAGAAGAAGAGCTACAAAAGTTGAAAGTAATAAGAGAACGTCTCAAGAAGATCAACAAGCCAGCAGCCAAGACAATCCAGGCAATTCTCCTTAATTTGCCTCGGCTATTGATCCTTCATTAGGCATTGACTTCCTCTGTTTTTCGTTCTGTTTTCTCTAAGTAGTTTGGCTTTCTTTGGTTTGTTGGTGCAGAGTCCAGATGGTGATATCATAGATTGTGTTTTATTACATCATCAACCAGCCTTTGATCATCCTCAATTAAAAGGACAAAAACCATTGGTAATTAAAATCTTTCTTGCATGCATTTTTTTTTTCGGTTTTTATGACAAATGAACTTCTATGGAATTTAACAGCATTAGATATTCTTGAACTTGCAGGATCCACCAGAGAGACCAAGTGGTCATAACCCAAATGGGATGGCGGCAGAAGATTTTCAGCTGTGGAGCATGTCTGGTGAATCATGTCCGGAAGGAACAATTCCAATCAGAAGAACAACTGAACAAGACATGTTAAGGGCCAGTTCTGTAAGAAGATTTGGAAGGAAACCGAGAAGACGTGTTAGAAGAGACTCAACTAGCAATGGCCACGAGGTAGGTGCCTTAACAAATACTACCTTGGAATACAGAAATTAGTCCTACAATGCTTTTTCCTTTGCTTTCTTTTTTGTCCTTTTTTTATTCTTTTTTGTCCCACAAGAGTTTATAAAAACAGCACCAGTAATCAGTTAAGGCCATTCAGAGGACGGTAAAGAAAGTAGTCAAAGAGAATAGCAAAACGAGGCTTTGCCAATTGTCTCCTTTTCCATGCCTACTTAATTAAAGATGACAAACTTATTGAACTTATCAAAGGAAAAGAAAGAGGAAGAGGATACCCAAAAACGGCTTTTTCAATTTTCTTTTATGTATTTTCCACTGCTTAAACCGAAAAGCTCATTTGTTGCTTCCTTCTCTTGTTTTCTGTTGGTTTTTCAGTCTGTATTTCTCTAAACCCTAACTGAAATCAGAGGAGAAGAAAAAATTCTCTGTGGTAGAAAGAGAGCTAGCAACCGTCCATGAAGTACTAATCATTCTATTTGGAAAGTAAATTAAAAGCAGGAACAGGTGTAACATGGCTCAAACCATGACCAAAATAGTACAGCGTGATCAATTTTGTAGTCCACTTTAGCAGAAAATGGAATCTTTGGTAGATAGCTTCTTCTTTAATTCTAGTTCGGTCTTTAAACGCAGCAGTGAAATTCCTATTTGTAGTAACTAGAGACTTTCATGGTTTCCCCGGCTAACTGTATCAGACTTCACTTATTTCTACGTACAATGATTTTGTCTTCTTTGTTAAGCCATTTTCTTTTACCCTGAAAGACTATAATATTTAACTTTTAAATACAGCTATAAAAGTGAATTTAAATAAATTTCCGTAAAAGAAAAAAAGGATTTAATTATGATGGTATTGGGATACAGCATGCAGTTGGGTATGTGAGCGGAGATCAATATTATGGAGCAAAAGCAAGCATAAATGTGTGGGCGCCTCGTGTCTCCAATCAATATGAATTCAGCTTATCCCAAATGTGGGTCATCTCTGGTTCATTTGGCGACGACCTCAACACCATTGAAGCTGGCTGGCAGGCATGTATAATTACCCCTATATATTTTACTAGTTTTGGCATCTTTTAACAACGTAATCTTCAATATTAAACTTACTTATTTCTCTTTTAACAAAAATTTGTCTATAAAAGGTTCTGCTATCAAATACTTGGAGATTCAAAGTGTTTTTAGAAATGAATTATTATTTTATAAAATTCAATAAATAAAATTTGAAGGTTATCACATATTTTGTTAGGATATATTTAAAATATTAATAAATTAATATAATAAATAATAAAGATACGCCATAATAGTCCAATCCCTTTTTTAAAATTTAAAAATTCTATTGTAATGTTATTGGCAAGTTTAAAAGTATTTTTAACCACTCGTTAACATTTCTTAAATATTGGTATCCTAGTAATATATTAATTAAAGTTAGATGTAAGCAGAAAACATCAATTATAGCTGCAACGTAGTATTTGTACACATTGAATTCTATGCACTCAATAGTTTTTCACATTTAGGGCATTTATCACAACTCAACCACCTTTCACTTTCATTGTAGTTTTAATTTTGTATTTGTAGCAATAGATGCTAATTAAATTGCTAATTCATTCCTTTGTTCTTTGAATGCAGGTAAGCCCAGAGCTATATGGGGACAATTATCCTAGATTCTTTACTTATTGGACCGTAAGTAATCTAAAATTATTTGGAAAAAATTCTTTGCTTTATTAAGCTCTATCTTAAAGCAAAAGATAAATCATTTCCAGTCTCGAGAGAAATTAATGCTCTAGCATGATTTTTTGCAGACGGACGCATACCAAGCAACTGGTTGCTATAATTTGCTCTGCTCAGGATTTGTTCAAACTAATAATAGAATTGCAATTGGAGCTGCAATCTCCCCAACATCATCATACAATGGCGGACAATTTGATATCAGCCTCTTGGTTTGGAAGGTAATTACTAACTTGCATTTATTATATAATTTCAAAAGAAGAGAAAACTTTGAACTATATTGGTGGTATTGCGCAAAGTAAAGCTTGGGTTCAACATTTATGCGACACACGTGCGTTGGGATTTTGCATCATAGATTTTGTCGTGGACGCCCCCAAAATCTGGACCATAGGATCTCAATACTTTTCATCAACTGAGAAAAAGTCCATGAAAAGACGTAAGGGCTTGTACAAGTAACAACATAGTATAAGTAATACACACCATAAATATTTCCTTTGGTGCCAAGCATTATGATACATGAAAACTTTATTCATGGCTAGCTCTATTCAAGCACTACAATGGTGCACTTCCCCGCGTGCACTGTTAACCCCGAATAATGCCTGTAATTCCCAACTGCTTTTTTGGCTTTGCAAGATTCTATTCTTTTCCAAGTAAAAGAGCTTCTTGCGCCTGACCCCCTTCAACTTTTTTCCATTTTTCTTTTGGGGAAGGGAGGGGAGGGGATAATTTTACAATCAACTTTGTGAATAAGAGAATCATTAATTCTACCATGAAACTTGCTTTTCATAACCTTTACTTTTAACACACTAATTAACTCTACCTGTATTGCAATTAATGCAACATCCTTAATGAGTGCTAAAAGGAGAAAACTTAACAGCTCTTAAAATACCGTATTTGGTGTAGGATCCAAAGCATGGAAATTGGTGGCTGGAATTCGGATCGGGGATCCTGGTAGGATACTGGCCATCATTCTTGTTCACTCACCTAAGGGATCACGCAAGCATGGTACAATTTGGTGGAGAAATTGTGAACTCAAGGTCAGGAGGCTTTCACACCTCAACAGAAATGGGCAGTGGTCATTTTGCAGGGGAAGGCTTTGGAAAGGCATCGTATTTTCGAAATTTGCAAGTCGTTGATTGGGACAATAACTTAATCCCACTGGCAAATCTCCGGGTCCTGGCAGATCATCCAAACTGTTATGATATCCAAGGAGGGATTAATAGAGTGTGGGGGAATTACTTTTACTATGGAGGACCTGGAAGAAATGTCAGGTGTCCCTAAAGGGGAGGGTATAGGATGGAAATTTTTTCCTTTTCTTTTTTTTCTTCTTTTTAATATATAGGTTTTTTTCTTCAATACTTGTTGGGTGATATTGGGTCTCTGCTGGAGATCATCCAGTGAGTTTGGGCCTATGGGGTATTCTTATAATTATTTTTCCTTGTTAATCCAATTTTTTTCGATTGTTCTTTTTTCTTTCAGCTAACCGGTGTCCATTAATTAAACCACCTTTTGGGACTTTTGTGTAAATGTGGAAAAAATGATGGAATATAATGAATACAGTATGGGTTGTGGTTCCTCTTTTCCTTCTCTTGTCCCTGTTGGGAAGATTTTCAAGGGTGCAAAGGTTTAGATTAGAAAACTGGCACTTCGTATTCAACATTGGCAACTGAATGATTAAACAAGGCATCTAATTAATACCCCAATATGGACCACTGAACTGGAAGGAAATCTAACCACATTGTTTTGTATAGTTAGATGCATTAACCATGCACGTGCATTTTCCTTCGCCATTGCTTCAGCTCATACAATATCACATCTCTCTCTGCATTTCTTTTTAATGTCATTTTCTTATGTTAAGATAATGTTTTGGATGTTGGCAGCCATTATTGCCCCGCTTATGATATCTCTAGATTACTAATTAAATTACTCAATAGCAGTTTGCCTTTTAGTTTACTCTGTAATGAAGTAAAGCCACTAGCGACAGGAAACTACATACTGGTTTGAAGTTGAAAGTGTGCCATGCATTGATTTTATGCGCACTAACCATATTAAATGCTTAAGCATTAATTTCTGTGTTGTGTTGTCACATTGCTAAACAACTAATTATCTTATTTACTATGTGTTTTCCTTATCATCTTTTTTTTTTTCCGTTATATTTATGTTTATTATTGGTCAATTACAATTTGCAAAGAGCACGAAAGGTTACGAGCTGGAAATCAAGATTGCTTTCATACCAAGGGAAAGTCAAAGAAAGTGTGAAGGACAACCTCAGGTGCAATTTGGACACGAACAAGTAGAACTAGAGTTTTCAGTTAATGGGCGAAAATCTTATATAATATTAAGGGTTTAATTTTTTTTTTATACAAAACAATGAATCCATATCCAATATATCAAGTAATTTAATACAACAACCATAAAATTATAAAAAAAAAACATAACTTAAGAAAAATTTAATTATTTGAGCTGAACATGAAAGTTTCGTGTTTGTGATGTTGTAGAATATTAAAAGTTTTAAACTGCATGTTAATTTTTACACAAGTTTAAGTTAAGAGCTTTAATATAGGAGTAACAAGTTATACAAAGTAAAATTGATGCAATAAATATTGGTATTTTCTCTTTAAGAGATTTCATCAATAAATTTGTCTTTCAAAAAAACAATATTGGTATTTCAAGTAATTTAAATTGTTAAGAAAACTCCCTATAAAAAGGCATAGTATAATAAATCCTAATGGAAATTGAAGAGGATATATATATATATATATATATATATATATATATATAATGAGAAGCATTAATTCAACTTTAATTACTTTTCTAATTTAACAAAAAATATTATATAAAATTATCAATATGATACAGGTATCAAACCGTCCGCGCGCACTCCTTTTCCAATGCTCGAGGTCAACATATAGCATACCAAAAATCATGGATGAGTAATTAATGATCATTATCTAAACTTAACAAAATTAGAGCTTTACTTGATCATTTCTTTAATATCTAGTGGCTACAACAACTTTTAGAACCGAAAGCTTCTCAACCCTTCAATCTTCAAAGGATAAACACCTAGAATAGTTTGCATTCATTTTTAAGATTAATTAAGGATGCTTTCGGCTTTGGATGATGGATTAATCCTACCAACCGGCAAATGGTGCAACGCGCACATATTCGGAAATTCAATGCATCCTTTATAGGGACAAGATTATTTTTCTATGCTCCCCTTTTGTAAATTTCTCTTGTTAAAAACAACAATTTCATGAGCTCCTTATTATCACTTGCACTACTTAATCTTCGTTATTCAATATTCTCTTCAATAATTAAATTATATTATATTATAAAAATTTATAATTTCTTAATTCAATTCACTAGGTAAAAATAAAATCTGGCTAAACTTAGATCTTTCCCCATGCACTTTTGATAAATGTAAAAGGTATATGCATGATGTAGAACTATATATACAGCCGGTCAAAAATTAACAGTACCCATCTAAAGCAGCAAGGAATCATGGTGTAAACAAAAAATGATTTTACTTAGACGCAAAGTTGGCGTTCCTATATAATAATGCAAGCATTCATAAAAACCAAAATACTAACTTTACTTGTACCACAAGCATATACATAAATATGCAAACATAGGAAGGGGATCAAAAAGGAGAGCATGGACCGACGACAAATCCAGAGAGGCAGCATTGTTAAGCTGAGTTTGGCAAAGCTTTCGATGGTAGATATGCAATCTTGGCAATGGATCCCAGTAGCTGCATTGTGATTCCTCTTTAATTCAGCTTACCGAACCTTCACCAATATTGACAATGACTTTTGTAAGCAGCAAGGTGATTACTGTTTTCAATTAAACCGCCTCGGAATTAGAATAATTGGAATGTGGGTCCTTTCATGATCTTGTACCATCGTTCACACAATGCTAGCTTAGTGTTTTTGATGGAATAATGGATGTGAGGGAATAAAAGGACGGGACAAGCCAACCATTGAATGGAGACGTGTACAAACTTGAAACTCACTCATGACTCGAATTAGTAGTCTGTTCCCCAGTCTTTGTGGTCTCTGTCAAACAAGGAAAAGCCAATTGGACCACTGGGCTCAAGTAGAAAAATAGAAAGATCAATTTATCAAGGAAAAACATGCATACAGTATGTTTGCCCCATTGCCTGACCTTTGAATTTGATGATCTGAATTCTGAAATGCCAGCTGCCTGAGCTTCGTGGCCAAGGCTACTAAGTGGTTTATAAAGTTCGGGCTTAAAGATCCAATTTAGCCCCATCCCATTATCTCCCAAGCTAAATCAATGTGCAAGATGGTTGGAATATTGAAACAAATTGTCATTTTGAAGGGATGGCTTTAAAAACTTTACTCATCCACTAGACAATTAAGATTCTAAGAAGGAAGCTTCTGCCTTTTTGCAGCAGCACTTTTGGTGGTCCAAGATAAAATTGAGCATCATGCCAGTCATGGACCCAATATACATCCTCAGCACTTCCCACCAGAACAAGCATAACCACTTTTTGCTATAATCCAACAGGGGCTAGAAGACAGGACGGCATGGCAGCTTTAAGACGCTCTTGGTAAGGACCAGCTACTCACAGCCCAAGAGCAGTGCCACAACACGCACCAATTGGCTGAAGTACATTTGCATGCAGTTTCTATTGCGTCAACCCATTTATCTATTTTGACTGATCTTGCAGTGACGGTCGGGTCACGGGTTATAAAATCTTCAATAATGAACGCCAAGCAAAGAAGCTGAATGTCATGGACCCTGTGAGAAATAGAAACTGCTACATAGGACATCGTTGAGGGACAACCATTTTGACAGTAATGCACGTAACACAATGCCCTGCCAGACAATATAACCTTGGGCTTAGACAGCTCCATTCATCACACCCCTAGTTATTTCACGAAATCTAGGGATGATCCTAGCCAGTGTAGAACTGCAACTTGAAGTGCACCCTCGTTGGCAGTAGCATTTGGCAGGACACACATAATTGAACCTAATAGTCTAAATAAACATTACAAGAAAGTACATTATATGGTCTCCTAATCTATTACAACTCAACTGCCATGTGGCCATAGTGAATCTAAAATTCTGTTACACATTGCCTGTAACTACAGAGATGAACAAATAGATCCTATCTGATAACATAACTTATAAGTCAACACGCCTTTTCTCAAACAAAACAAAAAACCTAAATGAAAGGAGCATTCTTGGATGGAGTATACTGTATTACTATGTATTGGTTCAACATGATAATTACCAATTGCATTTTATTAAAAAAAAAAACAGATAATTAATGCTATTCAATATCATTTCACCATGAATTGAAATTTCAGAACACAACAAAATTGAGAAAACTCACTCCACAGAAATCACCTCAAGCAATTTCTTACTTGCCTCACTCACTTCCACCTTTTCCATCTTCAAACAGCGACGCATCACAGGACTTGTCCTTCCAGCAGCTGCATAAGTTCTGATCAATGATTCAAACACTTCCTCTCCTACACGATCTACAGCTTTCTTCAAAATCTCCAGAAAACCTTCAGCCCCATCAACATCTTTCTCTTGCTCAAAGTGCCACATCACTGTCCCAATAGTTTTAGATGATGGCACCCACTTTCCACCATCTCCTCTGCCAGTAGATATTGCATTGGCCACACAATCAACTGCCAGTTTGATGTCCCCATTTTTCAAATAATAATCCAAAAAGATCTCCCAAGTTTTGGCATTAGGCTTCACCCCTCTCTTGCGAGCCCTCTCCTTCAGCTCTTGAGCTTTCTCTAGCAAACCCTCCTTGGCATAAGCTCCAATTAAGGCATTTGCAATCCGGATATCATAAGTAGAGCAACCCGATTCCCATTCTCTAAAGCATTTCTCTGCTCCTGGTAAATCTTTCAAGTTAACTAGTACCTGAATCATATTCAGAAAGCTTACATTGGCTGTTTTGTGAAAAGACAGCCTCAATGAACGCCATATTCGATAAACTTCAAGCAAATTTCCCACTCGGCCATACAATGTAATTAGAAAAAGGAAAGCAGAAAGGTCTCTGCGGGAATTTCTCTTTTCCAATTCCTTAAGTGCCTCTTCTGCCTTTTTAAACAAGCCAGCATCAACATAAACAGATGCTATATTGCTATATGTTGTCCAATCATCATCATCTCCAGCATCTCTCTTCATTTCCTCAATAACTCTTTCAAACGCAGAAATATCATTCATAGCAGCCAGAGCCCTCATCCAAACATTGTATGTATAGGAATCTGGCATGATACCACACGACTTCATTTCCCGTATAATGTCTGGGACCCTTTCCGGCTGGCCAATTTTTGTGTATAGAGTCATGAGACTGTTGTAAGACATGGAGCCTAACGGAAGGTTAAGTTCCTTCATCTTTTCCATTAGAGCTTCTGCTTTTTCAGTCATCAATTCCTTACAGTAACAGTTGAGAAGGGCACCATAAGTGAGATGGTTCTTCAATGCTTCAGGAAGGTCAATAAAGTAATTTTCTGCAGCAGGAATCCCTCGAGCTTTGGCAACCAAATCAAGATGGATAGCCTGATCGCTAACCGTCTTATTCATGCCCCACTTAGTCACCATTGTTTCAGAGAGCTGTAAAGTCAAACATCAAGACATACATAATCCATTCTGCAATTGAACCAAGCAAAATCAAAAAGAAAAACATACATTCATAAAAACGAATCTGGAGCCAAGCGTTAGCAACAATTATATACAAAATTGGACATTGGTTTCCACATGCTTGGACATCTTTACTTCTAAAAACAGGCCCAGAAGCTGTATCTAAAGAAACTAGGAACAAAATCCTACACACTACAAGCTGGAACTCAACCAGAGGCACAGTATAGAGAGATAAGATCATTTTCACTTATCTGTCTCAAAACCCTGCTACATCTCCATTAATCCAATTATGACTTCATTTTACACTGGAAAAGTTCAAATTACTTTGCCAAGTCTACGTCTCCATTAATCACCCAATTCTACCTTTTAAGCAACTACATCAAGGTACCAACAGTCAAACGAATAAATGGCTGGGAAGGAAAAAAGAGCCAAGATTCACATTGCTACATTAGCCGATTACCATTCATTAACCATTACCGAAGCTTCTTGCAATTAGAAAATTAGATAAAAAAAAAAGAATAAAACCCCTGATAAACCCCAAGCTTTCATCTAATAAAATAAAAAATGCACCTTGAGAGCAGGGTAATAGAGCTTGCGATGGCGAAGCTTCTTGAGAGTGTCGTCAACTTCCCATTTGTAGACGCGCTTGGAGCTCTTGAGGAACTGATTCAGCTGCTGCCGCACGCTGATTTCCGAGCTGCCGTCCTTAAAAAGCCTGTGGTAAAGTGCCTCTTCCAAGTACTTCTTGGACCTTCTGGTCACATTCTTGGTCCGTCCCAACTGTTGCATCAACGCCATTGCTTTGTTTCTGCTCGAGGGGTTAGGGTTTTAGGCTTTTTGTTTTGGATTTGGGGAAGTCTTCTGGAAATGAAAGGAACTCTGAAGCGAAAGGAATAGTTGAAAGGACGCCCGCTTAGGTTTTGTGATTTGGGCTGCATGAACTTAAGTTAATATGGGCTTTTGATAAGGATTGCAAACATTATTAGCCAGATCTGTGTTCCACCCAAATATATACACACTTCCGCCTCGCGAAAATTCTAAATTGAAAATGGGCTTTCCTACTTGATTGTTGGATTTTATGTAATATCTTGAGGGCCTGTTGGCCTGACTTTTATTAGTTTAAAAATTATTATCAAGTTCATATAAAAAATAATAATTTTTAAAAGTATGTTAAAATTGTTTAACAAGTTATTTGATCAAATAAATTATTTAAGTTTTAATTTTTTATTAAAATTACCATAAAAATTATTCATAGTATGTTAAATCACTTAATAAATTAAAGTGGAACAAATCTATTTTGAGTTTATATACGATTTTAAAAATTAAAATAAAAAAATTATAAAGAAAATAAATAATTCTCAAACATGTATAATAATAATAGTATTATATTTTTTGGTAAAAAAGAGAGAAAATCTTTAAATCGTATAGAAATGTAACTTTAAATTTTGAATTATTTTTTCTCTTAATTTTTACAAGAACCAAAAAAATCTTAAATTTTGTTATTTTGTTGTTAAGTCTGCTGATTGGTTTTAATAGTCTTTATAGAAAGAGATAAAGGAGAGGGATATTGTGATTTTGCTTTAGAGAAGGGTGATTTGCAATAAGAGAGGAAAGAGAGATTAATTGAGAGAGGAATATTTCTGAAAAGCTGTTTTGTTTTTAAAAGAGGAGAAGAGAAAGCTCTTCTCTAGAACTTTTCTTTAAGCTCTCTTTTTAAAAAAAAAAATTTAAAATTATTTTTTAAAAAACTTCTCAAAATCCTATTTGATCTTACTTTTACTTTTAAGAGATAGATAAATTAAAAAAAATTAAGTTAAACAGGTACTTAATATTATTTATTTATACATATTGAGCCTATATATTTTCTTTTTCTTTTTTGAATGATACAAGTCTAAAAGAAAGGTAAAAAGTCTAATCTATATTATTAATATTGATCCAAACCTTAAAATTTTGCTATCAATATGTTGTTCTGTCTCAACTACGTTGAATGATGTTGACATGGCCCTTAACATAGCATTGATCATGTTGTTTAATGTTATTGCGGTGTTTATTTTTATTTTTTAATTTTTGTAATTTTTTTAAAATTATGAAAGATTAAAATAACACTAAGTATTTTTTATTTCTACAAAAAGAATTTGAAAACAATTTTTTAAATACTCAAATATTATAAAAAATTTAAAAAATTAGAATTTTTTTGAAAAAGATTGATTAAATTAAAAAATCAACAAAAAGAAATTTTTTAAAAATGAAAAATGAAAAAACAAAATACTTTTTTATTTTTTAAAAGTTTTGAAAATAAAAAAATAGAATTTTTTAAAAAATATTTCTTTATTTTTGTAAAGAAATAAAGATTATTTTTGTGTTATTTCATATTCCTAGAAATTTATAAAAATGGAAAAAAATTTATTATTTTATAATTGTAAAAATATAAAAATATATTTTTTTTCATTTTATATTTTGAGATCTTTTAAAAATAAAAAATTATTTCTTTTTTTTTAATTTTATAAAACAAAAGTAATATTTCAATTTTTCAAAATTTTCTAAATTCTTAAAAATAAAATTTTATTTCTTTTTTTAATTTTTTGAATATTTCATAAAAATAAAAAGTTATTGTTATTATTTATCTTTTAAATTTTAAAGACATAAAAAAATATCTTTAATCAACATCAACTCAAAGTTAATAATACATTGAATGATATGTCATCAATCACATCTGTAAGCATCATATCATTAACCACAGAAGCATTAGCCAACTTGGCTAATCTCTTTTTTAGTTTTTAAATTTGAAAAAGGAAAATTCTAATCATATTTTTTAAGAGGGGAATTATGTATCAACTAATCAATTAAATGTTTGGATGTGCTAACTTGACCAACCTTATATCAACTTATTTGACAAAAAAAAATCTTAATAATACTGATAGGAACTAAATTAAGATTAACAATTATTAAAAATACAAAGATTCAATTTATACAAATAACAATAAATAGATTAAATCCAATATTTTTCATGTAGAACAAGAATTAGATTTAAAATTTGACCGATTGATTTAGGTTGATATACATACATGTGCAATGATACAAACATATATATATAAGTAAGATTTTTCGTTTTAAGGATGCATCTTTTTATTGTAGGTAAAAATAAATGTCATGCTTAAAGGATAGTTTATGATTAAAATTATAGTTTTTAAAATTAGTGCTATCATGTTGGAATCTTGAGAAAAGAAGGGACTTTTGGTCTTCATATCTTTAAGGCTAGAGACATCACAATAGTTAAAATTTACGATTTCAACCAATAAGTTTTCGAGAGGAGTTAAAAGAGATTTATGAACGTGAAAAAAAGTTACTTTTTCTTCTTAAAAATCATGTGTTATAACAAAAAAAAATACTAAAAATGAATATATATATATATATATGGATATAATTTTGTATAATATTAATTAAAAATGTTAACCGGTGTTTATTGACACTAATTAAAGTGATATTTAAAGAAAAAATGTTATAATTAACACATTTTTTCTCTTTTGATTTTGGTGAAAATAATGCATTAAATGAAAAAAAAAACTTTTTTAAGATAATAATTTAACTAATCTTCACTATTATCAACTTCGCAACTACCTTTGCCTCAAAGTCAGAAGGAAGGTTCTGGAATTCTGCCTATGAATCCTCCACTCTCCCCCATTATCTTTTTTCCTTTTCCAAAAAGAACGGATAAGTAACTTAGTGAACGTGTAATGCAGGCTTGCTCAACTCCCGAACCAGGAAGGAAGAAAAGATGCCGAATTTAATGTAGGATAGAGGACGGCATAAAGCGTCCATTAATGGAGCTTCGTTTGACTTTTTGGTTCTTTTAAGGTGTAGGTGAGTAGTTGAAGAAACTGCTGGTCACTCACAACTTTTAAAGCAGATAGGAATAGGAAGGCTTTTCTTTGACACCCCAATGCAAAAGATCTTCAATCTTCGTGCATGCCTAAAGCATGTTTCGTCTTCATATGTATCACCTTCATGGACTTTGTTTCCAGTTTCTATTCCCCAGTTGGCCAATTTTGTACCTAATGAATAATGAAGGAGGCAAAGCCCATAAACAGTGGAAACAGAAAACACAAAGGATATAAATGCTCCGAGCCAATGTCAATGTCCAACTAAAATATTGTACCTCCAAGAAATTGAGTTTTTTTAATGATATCAGAGGAATGCTTTTACAAATATTAAATAGAATTTTAACTAATTTTAAAATAGAGTGTCTCTCAATTTTAAAATTTATTGTAATTAAATGTTTAACAATCATGCTTTTCTTTTCTTTTTCTTTCACCTATACGATACAAAATATAAAAAAAATATACTAAGAAAATAATTGAGGGAAGAATTGAGAGAAAAATTCAGAAAAAAACTTCTAGTTCATTTCTCATAAGAGAAGAACTTTTGGTTCATTTCTCACTATTTCTGATTATTATTGATTATAATTTTTCATCAATTACAACGCCCTATTTATAGGGTTACATAATATTAATGAAGATATTGATGAACCATCATAAATATATACATTGATTATGAATGGAACCTGAAAGGTTGAGAGATTTAATGGATACATTCATTTATTCATAACACTTCCTCTTGAATGTTCATTGTATCATGAAAATAGTGCTTTAAAATTTTACCTCATTAAAAACCAAACAGAAGGAAAAAAAATACAAAGCACTTAATAATTTCTCCCTCTTAGATGAAGCACCATTTCAAAGGCTTCACAGGTCATGCTTCAAGTTACCTCATTAAAAACCTTAAGCTAGAAAAACCCAATAGGACAAAAATAGGACATAAGAGAAAAAGAGTACAATGCATAGTCCATAATTTGCTCCCCTCAATTGAGCCATATTGCCACTTTTAGGGCATTTGATATTTTGCCACTTCAAGGGCAAATTAATCTTGCATCCAATTAACTCAAAGCATTCCAATGCCATATATTAATTTCTCAAATGTTGACATTGGCAATGATTTGGTAAAAGGATCTGCAAGATAATTGGAGGAGCGAATTTGTTTAACGTTAACTTGTAGGTTTTCTTGAAGTTCATGAGTATAAAAAAATTTCGACGAGATATACTTGGTCCTATCTTGTTTAATAATCCTCCCCTGACTTGTGCAACACAAGTAGCATTATCCTCATAAATTATAATGGGAGAATTTATAACCGGTGTTAAACAACAAGAATCATGAATATATGTTATAATGGATCTCAACCAAACACACTCTCTTCAAACTTCATATAGAGCAATAATCTCATAGTGGTTGGGGGATGGAACTATTAGCAATTGCTCAGTAAAGCACCAAGAAATGCAATGCCGTTATAGCAAAATAAATAATCAGTTTAGGAGCACGCCTTGTGTGGATCAGATTTATATCCCACATCAACATATCTAACTAAATCAAAGTTAGTGGAATCCTTAGAATAATATAATCCCAAATCCATGGTTCCTCGGAGATAGCAAAAGATATGTTTTATCTCATTCCAATGTCTTAAGGATGGTTCAGAACTCAAGCGGGCAACAAATTTATTACAAAAGCAATATCCAATCTCGTACATTGTGCTAAGTACATCAAAGCTCCAATAGTATTGAGATATGATACTTTAAGACCCAGTATTTCCTCATTAGATTCTCTAGGATGAAACGGGTCCTTTTGGGGATTAATAGACCTTACAACCATAGGGGTGCTCAATAGGTGAGCCTTATCCATGTTAAAACATCCAAGCAATCTCTTAATAGATGTTGACTAATGGACAAGTATTTCATTTGCTTTGTGCTCAGGCTTTAGACCAAGACAAAGTTTAGTTTTACCCAAATTTTTAACTTTAAATTCACGTTTTAAGTATTATGTAGTTTTAGCTAACTCTTCTAGAGTTTTAATCAAATTCATATTGTCGACATAAACTGCTATTATAGCAAATCCAAT